TCGAGTAGTTTCTTCCAATCCTTTCCTTTCATAAATAATTAATATTTATATAAATTGAACACACGCATCGCGATCATCCCGTTCGCGGATGTCCAGAGAAGTATCACACACCCACTGCGAATGTGTTCCCTGTTAACAGAAAAATCGTAACGAAAATAGCAAAAGGTTTATATTACAGTAAACATAACTTAATATAGTCTCTGTTTTCTTCCAAACAAAATACACAATAAGCACGATAGATACAACACGCACTGTACACATTACACATCTAAATTACTCGTATTGGAACTAAATAAAAAGGATTTAAAAAATAACAAAAAATACAAAAATGAAGAGAATAAAAAAGTTCAAAGAACTAAAAATGAAAAGACCCAAAGAAATTTACATTAAAATAACTTAAACCTATACTAAATTTACAATTAAGTGCAACTTTATGTTTGTACAATTCCCATATTTTTCTTTGGTTTTCGAAATGATTCTGTCCTTCCAGAAGTATTTTATCTTCCTATCAAATTTCTAAAATCGTTAAAATATGTTACGTAACAAGGTAGTAGTGAAGAGTTCATTCAGAAAAAAATTTATGATATTCTTCGCCAACGCTTTCATTTTCTTCGTATCATTTTCCCGAAATTAGATAGGGACAGTCAGATATATGAGGTATCTTTTAGAAGCATTGTTGTGTATGGGTATTGAAAACACGAACAGACTCTTCACTAGATGTGTTTAAAAATGGGTAAACTGCCTTGCAAAGATAGTACGATTTCAACAACGAAAACGAAAACTTAAAAGTGCTACTCAACGCGATAAATGCAATTTTTCTTCAGTTTTTGTTTCACGTGTATGTATGTCAATATTGTAATATGTAGTGATCAGTAATTTATGTGGAAAATGTGTGCGGTTCATGAAAGACAGCATTCGACAACTTTTAGTAGTATAATGGTCATCGTGAATCAAAATGAAATTCTTTTATCCATGATGATCATCAGGAACCAAAAAAGAATACTCTCATAAATAATGATTGTCGCTAAAACAAAAAAAACATTGATTATTTATAACGGTTATTCGTAATGCTTAAAAATTATTTTTTTATCGTGTATTTTTTTTTAATTTATTCAAGATTTAGTGATCGCTGCCTGTTATTTCAACGATTTTATTTATTTTTTGTCAATAACCTTTTTCTCACAAATCTTAAGGATATATTTTTGGTCTCTGGACTTATAACGTAAATTGAAAAAAATATGATATAAGAATTCATATTTTAATTTTAATGACTTTGGGTGCGAATAACCATGATAAATGATTTGATTATTTTCGATTAATGTTAATCATTATGGGAGACGGAAATTGTTTTTGGTTACTTTTGATATTCAATTACCTTCAACCATCGTCAACATTGAATTAGATAGATATCCTTTATGATTTCAGTTTTTAATAAATCTTTTGAATGTTTGGTAATAATTATCTCCCATTGAAACAAAAATTAATCTTCTCACAACTTTTTAAGCGACTGACATTTTTTGGCCCTACTTCGGTATTACGTTTTCATTTCTAATTATGTATTTTTCTGAAGTACTTCTGTTGTAATCAAGAAATATTTTCTTTGATTTTACTTGTAAAACAGGTTTCTGGAAAAAATTGAGAGCGCACACGTTACATATCTCTTTATGTGTATGGGCATAATAGTCTTGTGCGTTAGTATTACGATGGTACAGGTGAGCTTCTTTTAATCGACTTTGTATCGTTGAATATGATTCGTCAATGGACTATCATTGTTTGAAATTAGATCGCTGCGATGGAAATATGTATGGATTTTTATAAGTTTACCAGCTTTCTGATTATTCAATTCTTGCATCTGTTCTACCTAACGATGCAGGGTCAGTTTGTTATAAATTCGTCCGATGAGATTTACGATGCAATGTAAGTATAACATATATTATAACAACATTCTCATTACTTGTAATCTTATCAACCACTTGCTTGGCTTATTAATAACGTAAAAGAGTAACAAATTATGAATATGCATGTATTTCTATACAGTGTAAAGCATGTTACGTAATTTGCTAGTTCTTTTATTCATTTATGATTTTTCAAATTGTCCTCTATAATTGTCCTTTATAATTGTTCTTTCCCAATTAAAATAAATATAAAATAATCACGCTTGCTATTGAGTCGTGTAAACAAGAAACTTCTATTTTATTTTCGCTTCATTCGAATGGTTGTTTGTACGATTGAAATGTTTATATTTAACATTTATTAATATAATATTAATTTATAGATTATAATGAAATTCGTAGATACGAGGCATCATGGTATAAGATGAGTACAAAAACGCAAGCATTATACATATTAGCGTTGCGGCGAAGTCTAACTCCATGCTATTTAACTGCCGGCGGTTTAATACAATTGAACATGCAAAGCTTTTCAGAAGTAATGTATCAATAATGTTATCTTCAATAATTACATCCGCTGTAACAATATTGGTAAATTTCAGGTGATAAAACTATGCGTTTCATATTATACAGTGTTGAGATCGACATGAAAAACGGATTGATATCCAGTGATTCACAGTAGACGCATTATTGAGAGCGATCGTTTTATCAATATCACTACGATATTGTAGAATAACTTAATAAAACTGTTCTTATATAATCTCGATACACGATATACATACGAGTATTATGGAAATAATCAATTAGAAAATAATAATTTTGTTTCTACGTACAGAAACATACAAAAATATCTGGACACTTGTGGATACTTTTTGTGAATATATTATGTGTACCATACACAACATTTTGAAATTTCATTCACGCTGTTACGAATCTTAACAATCACGATTACATTCCTAAAATTTTAAGTCTATATAAAGATATATATATGTCGGAGATGAAAGAACACCGGAGCCTTTGGAATTTTGGATAATCCTGCAACATTGTAATCTAGAGTCTACTATAGCTGTAATTAAACAATTGTAGTTATTTAATCCGATTGTAATTGTTCGAGAGTTGTGATAATGAGCTTGGGCTCGAGGCGACAG